ATAATCTCTCATCAGTAAAAAAAAACTTCTAAGACTCATTTTTATATTATTTTAACGCTTTAAGTGCAGAATAATATTTACTAAAAATATAATCGGTAAAAAAAAACTTTTAATACTAATTTCTTAAATTATTTTGAAGGTTAAAGCACGCAGAATAATATTTACCTTAAAAGAACAAGAATATGATCAGTAAAAAACCTAAGACTTCATTTTTTAAAATGCTTTTGAAGGTTTATTCGTGCAGAATAATCATTTATAAAAACGTAATATTTGTACCTGTGAGCAGCGGTTTTGTTCTGGTCTCTCTTCTTCTGCTTCCTCTCTCCGGTGACGGGTTCCGTCGGAGAACCGGCGCCCATCACCAGAGGCGGTTTGCCGGCGGAGCAGGTCTCGTCCTTTAGCCTCTGGGTGGGCCGGTGGATGGGGCCGCCCATCAGCGTGCCCTCGCCCTCCCCTCTGGACAGACATTCGTAGCTTTGGTCCGCAAGGCATTCTGGGTAGAGGTAGTGGCCGTGCTGGGGCTCGACGGCCTGTGCTTGTGGCGGCGGGTCGAGGTCTCCTATAAAGCTATGGTAAGGCTCCGTGCCGGCCATCGACTGGTGGTGGTGGTGGTGGAAGTAGCCGTCGCCGGCCGCCATTGTCTCTTGGGGGATCCCCCCGGAAAGTCCCGCGTCCTTGCCGCAGTGCAAGACCTCCAGCCCCGCGCCGTCGTAACTTACGTTGACCTTCACGTTGTGCATCGACTGCCCCTCCCCCCGCTTGTGGTGGCCATCGTACGAGCCGCCACCTCCGCCGCCAAGGCAGAAGCCCCGCGCGATCTCCTCGCTGCAAAACATCCCCTCGGAGAAGCAGTAGCTCTCCTCTGCCTTCAACGACACACATTCTCTCGCCTTCTTGACGCCGCCGAGGCAGCCCTTGCCCACGGTCTTCAGCGTGGAGTAGTGGTTCGCCGACAGCTCCGCGCTCCCTGAGTAGCTGCCCCTCGGACCCCACGCGTCCAGCCCCACGTCCTCGCCCACCTTCGCCGCCTCGCTGATGATCCTCCGGCCGTTGGTGGTGCTGTTGGGGCTGCTGTTGTGGTGGTGGTGGTGGTAGCGGTGGTGGTAGTTGTATGGTGCGGGTCGTGCTATTTTGGTTCTGCCGACGGGGCCGCCGCAGAAGCCGGCCAGGTCCAGCTCCCCCGTGGCCAAGGTGACGACCACGGGGCTGGTCTCCGATTGGCCGGTCCCGTACGAGCCGTAGGGCAGCTGGTAGTAGGACTGGGAGCCCATGGCTTGGGCGCCCTTGTCACATTTTGAGGGTTTCTCCAACTTGTTGGTGGCGGTGGTGGACTCGGAGCGGAAGTAGTCCTCCAGCTGAGCCAGCTCCTCCTGCAGTAGAGAGGTCATGACCTCCAGATCCGAGGGCACCTTGACATCCTCTAACGGCGACGGAGGAAGAGACGAGCAGGGAGAGGACTCGGTCGTCGACACAAACGAAGACAAATCGACTTTTTCTGTCATCCAATCTGAGTGACCATCACCTATAAAAACAAAAACAAAAATAAAAAAATTATTATCACATAATCAGTCGAAGTAATCCCGTTTCTTTCTCTCAGCTGTTTGTGGAGAATAACCAAAATAAAAAATACACATTCTGTAAAAAAAAATTAAATCACGCAAGCTGGATAAATGTTTAAAAAATAAAACAAAACATCCAGATAAAATCCAAGTGAACAACTAACCGATCATCTGAAAATGATTGAACAGCATCGTCTGCGTTCGATAAATATCCACTTAGCTGTACTCACTGTACGACATTAGCCCCCGTGCTGCACTGCGGCTCCGACCTCGGGATGTGGAAAAATAAAAAAGCGTCTCGGCGAAACTCACCAATTAAGCGCTGCCTCTCCGCAGGCTCCGCCCCCGTGCCGGGCCGTGATTGGCTGCGGCTAGCCCGTCGGAGAAGGGGAGCGCCGAGCTCGCCCGTGGAAATGGGAGGAATTTTCCTGCGAAGGATCGATGCCGCCATTGTGTCGTCTGCTGCGATTAAATTGTTCAAAAGCACAAAGCGTGCACTGGCTGGATGAAAGAATTGTGAGAACACCTGAAGACCTGCGGGAGGGAAGAAAAACACATTTAAGAAAATTAACTTTATTTTTATTTAGCCTTTGGAAATTCTCCCATTTCATCTTTTGAAGCTAAATAATTCCACAAAAAAATTTGTTTTAAAAATTACAATTCATATTTAAACAAAACTACAAAAAATTTCAAAAAGTTGAATGAGTGAAACATGAACTCTACGTTATTATTATTGATTCATGTCTCTGTAATTATCAAGAAATGAGGTGCAAAAAACAAATAAAATAAAATATTAAACACATCATTGACACTTTTACATTACTTAAAAACATTATTAGAATGTTTTTAAAATATATACAAACAACCACATATATATATATATATATATATACAAATGACTTTATATATGTATATGTATGTATAAAGTTATTTTTCAGAATGTAAGTTGTTTAAAAACATAAGGTATTAAATAACCTGTCTGACACCATGTCACAGTGACTTTAAATAGCAATAAAAGCTGTAAAAGCTGCTTTTCACCCAAATAACGTCTGAATTAAAACGCACAGATTAATGTGACTTTAAACCTGTTTGTTTGAGAAGAAGAGCGCATTTCTCTTTACAAACTTTGCGCTGTTTCCTCTCCAAAGCTTAGAAAACACGCAGCAGCAGCCGGTGAAACTTACCCCATAGTTTCTGAATAGTGTTGTAGCGCAAAGCTGCGGAGCTTCGCGGTGCAGGAGGCGGAAGGTTTCGCGAGGGTCTAAACAGCCATGCTTTCTCCCCTTTTACCGGCCACGGGGACTCTTCGCGAGGCGCTATTTCCACCAACTACACTTGCGGACAGAAAGTTTTTAAATCCGCTACTTCTGGGACTCCTAGCGCCCGGGACCGGATCACGGCAGACACGATCACTCCGCGGTGTCTCTTTACACAGTTCACCCGGGCCGTTACGTCATGAAGCCGGGACTCTCCCCCCCCTCTCATCAGAAACGGCTTGTGTTTTGTTTAAGTTTATTGTGTTTTATTTTAATTATAAAACGAGACGAATTACAACACATCCATTTAAAATCACTTTGAAACGCTTTTGTGTTTTTGAAAGTATTAAAATAACATCTCTACATTTAAAAAAAAGTGTTTAAAACAGCACATTCACGTCTCCACCTCACCTAGCAGTGCTCCAAATAATAATACAGAACGTGTGAGATATTATTAAAATCAAAAAACAACCTAAAAGTGAGAACATGCGGAGGATTCGCTCAGTTCTTGCCGGCTCTAGTTTCTGGCAGCGCGGAGGGGCGGAGGGACACCGTGTTGCAGTTCGAAGGTGTAACTTTAGTTGCAGCCCTGTTGCATCAGATCCGCAGGGGATTCGCTGACTGCTGGAACAGCGCGGCCTCACCATTGGTTTATCTAAGGGCAACTTCTTTTATTTTTTATTTTTTAGTATTATTTCTGTTGGCCTGCCATCGGTCTTCTGCTGATTGCTGATCATTGCACATTAACACCGACCTGGGAGCGGTTTACTGGGAATAATAGCGGAGCAGTGGGAATAAACCATGACCTCCAGCTGGGATGTAAACCCAGGCAGACTGCCACTTAGAAATCAATTAGAGAGCTGTTTACTCTCCCTGTGAGGAGGTATGAGTGGATCAACTCTCATTCAGACGTTCTAACCCGTTAACACATTTTATGTCACATGCGTGATCAAGTTTACCACTTCTATTAGTATTTAAAACATCAAAACATAAGTGTGAGATCTTGTGTTCTTGTTGTTTTGCGTCCCTGAATGTTGCTGAATCGTCTTTTAATTGTGTTTTTAATTCCACAATGTTCATTCTGCCCAACAGAGACGTTCTCTGTTTCCTGCAGAAGTAAATGAGTTTATAGCTTATATGTCAAGTCAATGCTTAACAAAAGCACACAGCACACAGAAGTTATTAACTTTAAATGTGACAAATCTGATCCGCTGTGTTGTGAAACTATTGTGAGAAACGTAGAAGTCAGTGAGTTGATAACTCAAAGTAAAAGCTGTTGTGTTCATTTATTTTATGTGGCGTAGTGAGAATATAATCAGACATATGTTGCATTAAATATTCATCATCCAAACTATTTAAAAAACATATTTTCACCTTTTTTCCTGTCGAACATTCATGTTCTTATGTCAAGCGACAGAAAATACAAACTCCACACAGAGAGGAGTCGGACTGTAAGAGTCTCTCTGAGAACTGATGAGTTGATCCATAAACACACAACACTGAGTCAGAGTGTTGATGCACAACGTTCTGTTCATGTGTTTCAACCAGACACACAC